CACCCCCACCACCACCCTCACCCTCATCTTCCCACGGATGCAACGGTAGCTCCCCCTTCCTAGAAACGTCTCTGCCTCAGACCTGTACTGAGTACTTTCCATACATTTCTTCATTTCACACAGCAGTTCTCAGACTATTGGATATCACGAATCAGTAATGCTTAAAAAAAATAGAATCGACATAAGACTGTCAACATTTTACTTTGCCAAGATTATTAAGACCAACCAACCAAAAAGCAAACAGACAAACAATCAGACAACCAAAAAAAAAGGAAAAAAAAAAAAAAAGAAAGAAAAAACGGGTAATATTAAGTGCCAGGGAGAGAAAAATAAATAGCAATGATCAGCATTTTATTTAAAAAGGACATTTCTGAGATGACAAAGGAGAAACCTAATCTCAGCATAGAGGCAATTTTAACACACTTTTAAATTTAAATTGTACGCAGAGCTCGCAACCCTCGCCTGACTCTTCTTGTGTGCTGTGGGCAGCTGCCAGCTGGCAGGGGCCAGCGTTTGTGGGTCTTCAACTTCATCTCCACACAATGGAGGAGGTAGTTTTATTAGCACCCCCATTCTAGAGGTGAGAAAGTGGAGGCTCAGAAGGATTTTGCCATTGACCTATAGCTTCACATGCAGGGGCAGACAGAGCCAGTGTCCCACAGAGACTTCGGACTCCAAGCCTGCTGTGTAGCCATTCGACACTGACATTACATCCCAAAGGGTCCCACTCTCCATCCTGGGACTTGCAGGTCTGGCTCACAGCTGGGCGTGGGCCCAGTGTGCTCTGGTCTGAAGCATTATCCAGAACCTTCTGACTGCCCGAGCTCCTTATCTCTGCCACTGGCTACGGCTCTTATCTGTCTCTTGCTACTGTGCACAGCGTGATGATGGGGCGAGGGTGGCGCCTGAGCTCTGGCAAATCTCTGTCCATCTCTTCACCTCATCCTCAACCTCATCCCTGGTGCTCCCTCCTGACTGCTGCCCCATCTTTCCTGGGGTGAGGGGAGGAGGCTTTGGAAGATGCCTGGGTCTCTCAGGCGAGGGGATGAGCCGAGAGGGGAGATGGAAGGAGAGATGGCTGGAAAAACTCTCCACCTTTGGAAATGGAATCAGATATTATTAAAAGGTACCAGAGAGAGGAAAATAAAGAGAAATGGCTGATAAACCCACGAAAGGATGCGTAACCTCTATCATACTGAAAAAATTCAAAACAAGACCATGTTTGCCTATCAGATTGTCAAAGGCTTTCAGGTATGGTCAAGCCCAGTTGTCAAGAGAGAGGGGGAAGGGAAGGTATACCCGCAGGCCTGTTGGTGGCACTGTTGACTGGTCCAGGATTTGGGGCCAAATCTATCAGAATTAGGATATGCAAGCTCTTTGACCCAGAGGTTGCACTCTCGGGAGCTGGTTTGTTAGATATACTAGCAACTTTGTGCCAAAAAGCATGTACAAGGATGTTCACTGTAGCAGAGCTTGTAATTGCAAGATAAACAAGCCCAAACTGGAGGCACCCCAAACGTCCATCAAAAAGGAACTGGATCAATCAATGTTGCTGTAACCACAGGATGAGCAAAGGACACCTGTGTGGGACAGAGGAGAAAGGTCCCCAAGATGTGCAAAGCATGGAAAGGAAAGTTGAAGCAGGGCAAGAGGGAGGGGGCTTGTGAATAAAGCAGAGGGTAGCAGGATGCTAAATAGTATTACAGGTGACCTTCAGGGACAGGAACGATCAGTTGCTATTTCCTGACACTGGTTACCAAACCCTTCCTCTAATGTTCTAGATCATTCAAATGGACCCAATCGAAAGAGTTTAAGTTTGTTGTCTCTGAAAAAGTCAAAGATAGGGTGTGATGTGGTACTATTTGTTATGATATGCTACTTGGGCACACTGAAATAGTATCTGCGTGTGTGTGTGTGTGTGTGTGTGTGTGTGTGTGTGTGTGTGTGTGTGTGTTTGTACATGCACACACCGGTATGTGTATACAGTGTTTTTCAAGATGAATGCTTTGGACCGTGTTATCTCCCTTTTGGGAGAGGTATCTGGGATGGGGAGGGAGGGGAACTTGTACTTTTTGATTTTATGTCTGTTTATGCCATCAGAATTTTCTTTATCGTGTGCATATATTGGTTTTATTTTAAAAATAAAATAAAAAAATGCACTTTGTGCATATAATTTAAGTTATACATTATAAAAAGGCACCAGGGACTCATTGGATCTGGATTTGTTTGCTGATGTCAGGGAAGTGCGGTGAAATTTAAACTTTCATAAAAGTTGACTTCTGCAGACGATTCCACGTCCCCTGGCCTCAACCAGGAGCCCCCAGGCCTAATTAGGGCCACAAGGAATGCCCGTGGGATGCTGAACTTTCCTCTTCCCCAGGCCTCCCTTCTGCTCTGCTCCTAGGCTGAGGGCCGGTCCTCTCTGGCCCTGCCCCTGTCACCGTGAGGGCGGCAGCCCCCTCTCTGGCTCCTCGGCCTCCCTCTTCCCGGGCTGCCTCAGCCTCCCTCTCCCGGGGCTGCCTCCTCGGTGCTCCTGCCTGGGAGACCTATTTCTGGCTTGCAGGCAGCATTATTTAAAGTAACAGTTCCGCCCACCGCCTTTCCTACCAGGGAAACCCACTTCACCCCACCCAGATTGCAGCTCTTGTCTCTCTGCCTCCCAGGCGGGTGCAAGACGCGTTTGGCCAGCTTCTGGGTTTGCGCATCCAGCGTGCTTTAAGCCTCCCTGGTAATGACAGCAACAGCACTCATGAGCCCCATCGCCTTCCCTCCTGGGCCACAGGGA